GACAAACACACCCGAGATGCTAAACAATCAAAGCCTTGGATAGAAGGTGACGAGACTCGCATGGCACCAAATACAGAAAGTCTGAGCCCCAATATGTCTCCATACGCCTCGGTGCCGAGTTGCCTGAACGGCGCCTACGTTTGCAACTTTTTTCGCAGCGGGGAAGACCTTTTGTTCATGGAGACCCTCGTGATGCAGGGAGCTCACCTGAGCTAACAGTTCCGCCGGCAGACCCGAGTTCTTGCTTGAAGACATTGTGACCCAAAGCTATCAATGCATGCAGGCTCTCAAGAGCACCAAGACCTGTGTTGCCCGGTATGCTTGCCATCGGTTCGACTACGGCCTGAATGCATCCAGAAACGGTGTGTGGCCTGATGTGAGTTGTGTTTGAGTATCGGACAGTTACGGAATCCCAGCCAAGATTTGCAATGGGGCAGACAGAGTGCGAGATTACTTTCACATGCTGGAATCGACTCAACTAAAGCCCCACGCAGAAAGAGCTTTCGTTGGTGGTGCAACTCTCTTTAGGAGAGAGAGCCTGGGCCAAGGTCGTGATTGGCTTCCAGCACATTGAAAAGTGGCGTCGCAGCGCCCCTTTTTTGCGTAAGTCTCCCAAATCCACCTTTCTGAATGGATCATCTCGGCCAACATCTGGTGACAGCTACAACGAAAGGGTGTTCCAAGAGGTGACGAGGTGCACTTCCGGCTCATCTGAGTGGCTGGGTCGTCGCGAATGCAGCTTGGATGAGGGGCGCGTCAGCTCACTCAGGTGCTGCTTGGTTCGAGTCAAGCTTGCACGAACCCCAATCCCCGGCCCGGCTGGGCGTTCCGCGACGAACGGATAGTTGCTCTCAAGACGCAGGGCAAATCTGGGGGTCAATATGGTGCCTGTCAGAAGAAGAGAAAGAATGCCAGGGACGAGATGTCAGGGGTGGATCCCAAAGTGCCTGATGTTTGGGCCGAGCAGAAATCCAGGAATCCATTACGCATGACCGTGGTTCGACACGTGAAATGGGCGGTGTGTGGGCACCGATTGGAGCATGGCAATTGGCCCGATTGTAACGGCGGGAGCCGCTATGGGACGACTTATCGTTGAGATCGCCTTCTGTAATTTTTCTGGATCCTTTGGGAGGCTTGATGCGCCGCCAAAACAAGACGTTCCTCGCCTGGTTTTCTCTGTCGTTTCCCAGGGGGGATATACTTCCATAATGGCTTAGCTGCTGTACGTACCAATAAGTACCGACTAAGGATCGAGGCTCACTGTAGCTGCTTTCTTGGATTCCGGCTGTGAAGAAATAACCAAATAAACAAGTACCCCTGGTGAAGTCGTCCGCGGTACAGGGGGGCTTGCAAACTAAATTGTCCACTCATCACGCTTCCTTTTCTGATTGATCTACTACTACACCACTACCGTGCATCGTTCGAGACGGGACGAACGACAAGTCTAACCACCTAACCACCCTCCCCTCTCCCAATCGCAACCTGCCGTCTCTCTTAAAAACTGATAACGGCGACTGGTCTCACTTTGCCCCTCCCCTCTCTCTCTCCCTCCTCCCCCCAACGAACCCGAGCGCATTCCCAACGGTCACCTCCAAGGCTCCGACGGCGACATTGTGCAACAGCCAAGCACTGAAGCTCCCTCTGCACAAGCCTACTGCCTCGTCCGACGACAGACCAAGACGCCCCCGCCACTCCTCGCTTCAACAGCAACCCAGTTCTGACCAGACGACCCCTCCAAACCAACTCGAAATGATTGATAGTCCAACAGCAGCCGCTGACGCTCGCGCCGAGCGCCGCAGCAAGTACCACGAGGCCGATGTCGTTGTCGTTGGCGCCGGCGTCTTCGGCTGCGCCATTGCGTATGCCTTGGCTCAGCAGGGAAGAAGCGTCATCCTGCTCGAGAGATGGATGAAGGAGCCTGATCGCATCGTCGGCGAGCTTCTGCAGCCCGGCGGCATTGTCGCCCTGCGCCAGCTGGGACTGGCCGACACCCTCGAGGGCATCGACGCTGTGCCCTGCTACGGCTACAAAGTCAGCTTCCACGGCGAAGGAGTCGACATCCCCTACCCCTCCTTTGACGAGAACGGCCGTATGATCCACCCCTCGTCCAACGCCGAGACGACGTCCTCGAGCGCGAAGCAGAAGGAGGGCCGGTGTTTCCACCATGGCCGCTTCATCATGAACCTCCGCAAGGCTTGCCAGAAGCAGGAGAACATTACCATCTTCGAGACTGAGGTGACGGCAACGATACGCGGCGACGACAAAGACACGGTCCTGGGCGTCAGGTCCAAGACGACGACGGACGCTGCGAAGGGCGAAAAGAAGGACGACTATTTCTTTGGCCAGCTGACCATCATCGCCGACGGCTACGCCTCCAAGTTCCGCAAGGAGCACCTCCCCCAGGCCCCTGTGGTCAAGTCCAAGTTCTACGCCCTCGAGCTCATCGACGCCCCCATGCCCTCGCCCGGCTACGGCCACGTCGTTATCGGCAAGGCTTTCCCCGTGCTCTTGTACCAGATTGGCACGCACGAGACCCGCGCCCTCATCGACGTCCCCGCCAACATCCCCGAGGCGTCACCCGCCGCTGGCGGCGTCCGCGGCTACATCAAGAACGTCGTCATGCCGACGTTGCCGCCCCAGATGCGGCCGTGCTTCGAGGCCGCCCTCGCCGACGGCAAGATCCCGCGCTCCATGCCCAACTCATACCTCCCTCCCTCGCGCCAGACGGCAAACGGCATGCTCCTCCTCGGCGACGCCCTCAACATGCGTCATCCCCTGACGGGCGGTGGCATGACCGTCGCCTTCAACGACTGCGTCATCCTCTCCGATCTGCTTCACCCCTCGCGCGTGACCGACCTCGCCGACCCCGTGGCCATCAAGAACGTGCTTGCCGAATTCCACTGGCGCCGCAAGAGCCTGACCTCCATCATCAACGTCCTGGCCATGGCGCTGTACGCCCTGTTCGCCGCCAACGACCGCCAGCTGCGTGCCCTGCAGATGGGTTGCTTCCAGTATTTCCAGCGCGGCCATGCCTCGGAGCCCATGGCCCTCATGGGCGGTCTTTTGCACCAGCCGTCCAAGCTTGCGTACCACTTCTTCAGCGTTGCATTCCTCGCCATCTGGCTCAACGCCCTCGACCTCATGAGCGGCAGTGTCTTTGGCTTCCTGAAGGCGCCGCTGGCGCTCATCGACGGCATTCTGATTCTCTGGAGAGCGAGTGTCGTGTTCCTGCCCGTCATGTGGCGTGAGCTGAACTAGAAACCTACACTAGACTTTGGAAAAGGGGGTTATTGGACATGAGCAAGAGGCGTTGGCGGAATGAGTGATGAACCAACGAAGAGATAAAAAGGGGGGGGTTGGATTTCCCTTCCCGGGTCCTCTGTCAGGAGGGTCCCCGGGCTGTATATATACACACTTACACATACGACAAACCATGTTTGGGACGGAAGCGGATGATTGGATCACTAGGTGTAGATACAGGCGTATCAGGCCACATCGTAATTTTAATCTGTCAAGAGTTCTTGATGTTGACTTTGGTTCCTCACCTGCAATGGCTAAACGTTTTTTGACCTTATACACGACCTCCCTTTCCGACACCTCAAATCCGGAGGCAACTCAGTACACAAGGCCATGGGTCTGTTGGGCTTTTTGGGTTTTACAGGATACGCGTCGCCATCGTGTCCTATGATACTCGGCTCGCCAGTGGAAGGGGGCTGAAGGTCGGAATCCCCTGCCAGTACTGACCTCGAGATCTCTCCTGCCGAAGTCAATGACGGCGCTAGGTCTATGGCCAAAGAATTGAATTGCCGACAAAGGGGTTGTAACTGTGACTCCCCGGTGCCCTTGCGCGGGGCGTTGCTCGTGGTGCATGTAGAACGACATGGGCATGTTGAGTCGGCCCAGGTTGCAACCGGGGAGGGTGCGCATGCTTTGCCTTGAGCCAGTCACACTGATGGAGATTGTGTGCCGTTACGGTATGATTCTGTTGTTGAGCTGACGTTTGTTTGGCAAATCAGAGAATGATATTCGAGACGGACGGGGTGTTTGGTGTGCGTGCAGAAACGGGCCTGGTTGCACGTGTTTCCAGAATCTGTTCCTTGCCCTCGAGATGCTGGCGGTACTCCTGGAAGCGATGTTCTTGTTTAATATGATTTTCACTGCCTCACTGGCCTTTGATGCTGTTTTGTAACGTGCTCTCTTTTCTTACCGAAATGCTTTTGGAGCGGTGATCACCAGGTTCGGCTTGGGAGCTATCCGCCCCAACACAACCTTGTTCGTGATGGAGGATGACGAGGAGCTGTTTATCTCCTCACGCAGCCGCAATGCCATGGTTGTTCCTGTGACGCGAATGGCATCGGGCTTCCTAAGGCAGCAAGTTGTGATGTTGACTCAATATTTACTGCCTGCGTCCGTAGTTTCCCGTCAACGCCAAGACTGTTGATCGTTGGCGAATACAGGTAAGAAAACGTCGGGAGGATTTGGTCATTGCTGGCTTGTAAAACGAGCTGACTGATGGTTACGTGGTCTTTCCGACTCTTGAACAATGGACTCAGCGATGCGGTCTACTCGCATGCCGTTTTGAGCACATCGACTGGATGGCGGGTTTCGGGAAACGTCTTTGTCCTTCAGCAGGAGGCGCAATTCATATTCACAAGCTGGCGCTGCTATGTCGTGAATGCACAGAACACTACATACAGGCCATACGTAACACAAGGGCCTCAACTACATCACTTCGGAGGATCATCGCCAAAAAACCGTCTGGCTTTGCACTTATAGGGGGTGGTCGAGATGTCATGAGATGTGGATGTCTTCAACGGCTTGTGGGCCCAGGTGAGATGAAGCGCAAGACGACACCAGGCATCTCCTTGGAGCCGCTTCCCATCCGCATGTGGTTACTCTATAACGTGCTCGTCCTCAACGGGTGCGAGCAGCCCTAGGACGCTTCGTCTGGAACAGCAGCCCGGAACAAGATAACACCTTCATCATCTCAAACTGCCACGTACGAACATACCCATTGGAAAACCCGGGATCCCGTCCGCTCCCTCATAGATAAGCCAATGAGGGGAGGCCGGATCAGTAGTTGGGTCGGCGGCGACCAGCGAATACCTGGTGTTGTACGTCTTTTGGCGTACTGACCACTTTTGTCCTAACAAATCGTCCCCACGTATGCGTGCAATGCTAGTTGGTACACGACGACGTTTTCGGCTGCGAGGCAGGTAGTTGAGCCGAGGACCAGGGGTCGTCTCCGTGGATCTTGCCCCGGTTCCATTGTGCGGTTCGAGAGCATGGCCCCAGCCTGATTGGATGGACTCTCCATCAAGCTTGACATACCGGCTTCCTCGAGCTGGAAACAGTGCCGGCCACTCTTTGGCAAAGCCAACGGTCAGTTGTAAATCCCTTTGTGATGGTGAGTTATATCACTAGTGCATGGTTTAGACGAGAGATATGGTTTGTGCAATGTGGGCAAACCTTCTTTGCCCTTTCTATTGTGTTTGCAGATTCAAGAGTCTGCTTCTCAACTTTTTGCCTACACTCTGCCCTTTTGAAGAACATGTAGCCATGTATACCCTTATCCACTGAAGAAAGATGGACGGGGTGAAGATGAAAATACCAAAGAGAACCTAAACCCTACGTCAACCTACGACGATAGACACCCATCATCCAGCTACCCCTGAGCACCGCCAGGCCGATGGCCATCTTGATGCTGTCCGAGATGACGCTGAGCTTGCTTCCGGGGACCTCGTGCCAGTCGACGGGCACCTCGGCGACACGGATTCCGGGGCTAGTGCCGATAACACTGCCGTCGTCTCCAAGAACAGGCGCGGGAGGGGCCGACTCGGCGAGCAGAAGCATCTCAATGTCGAAGATCCAGCCCTCGGCGTGCATGTAAGGGACGATATGCGGAAGGGCGGCGCGGGTGAAGAGCTTAAAGCCACACTGTGTGTCGCGGAGGCGGGATGTGGCGGGCGGGGTAAGGATCATGAGGACGAGGTGGAAGGAACGCATGAGGAAGTTGCGGAGGGCAGACCGCTAGGGCCCTGTCAGCGCTTGGAACAACACGAGGGGGTCGAATAAGGGGCATACCTTGACGACGGCCTCGCTGCCGACGAGGTGAGCACGGCTGCCAATAGCGACGCCGCGGTGAGAACCATCGACGACATCCTCGCAGCCCTGGATCAGACGGCCCAGATCGCTGAACTTCGTCGCACCGTCGGCGTCGGCAAAGAGCACATACTCGCCACGGGCGTGGCGGAAGCCGTGGGTGACGGCGCCGCCCTTGCCGCGGTTGCGCTCGAGCTTGATGACGCGGATAACATCGTGGAGGCCTTGTTTCTGAGCAAAGTCGAGGCAGACGTTGACGGTGTTGTCTCGGGACCCATCGTCCACGATCAGGATCTCGTAGCCGCTCAGGGCCTCGGAGGGCGGGTTCTTAGTACGTCGGCGCGGCGCGGTAGGGCTGAGGAGGGGCTTGGCCGGAGACGAGGGCCGGCCGAAGTTCTCGTCAAGGTAGGCAACCGCCTCCTCAAGGGTGGGCAGGATGCGGGTTTCTTCGTTGTAGGCGGGGAGCACGACGGTGAGGCGCACGTCGGCGGGCTCAATGGTTGCGCCCGAGTCGGGGACGTCGCGGGGATCGGTCAGGTGGGCGCGGGCCTCGGAGACGCTGCGCTCGGCGAACCAACGGTCGAACCAGCAGGGCGCAGAGACCTTGACCGGCTTTCCGGAGGCAGAAGAGGTGAGGTAGACTTTCTCGGAGGAAAGGACAGCGCGGGGCTTCGGGGCGAGGAGGTGGAGGGTTATGAAGATCTATCAATGGGATTGTCAGCTTCAATTGAGTCGTGTTTCGAGCAAAGTCGACGGCGAAGAAGGGCGCGCTCGAGAGAAATCGCTGAACCTACCGTGAGAAGACCGGTGGCGGCAAGAGTGAGCAGCGCGACGCCGAGCGTCGGCCACGATGCCTGTGTGATTTGGTCCATGACTTTGACGCAACAGTGACCGTGGGCGCTGGAGTTGCCCTTGGTCAAAGGAAAGGAGCGGACGTCGCAGAAATAACAACAGAAGGGCAATTGATGTGTCCGCTGCGCAGAAGAGGAAAGAAAAAGAAAAGAGAAGAAAGCGCTGCACCTGCCGCAGCTGCAGCTCAAGTCAGAGACAATGAGATGAAGGCGGCGCAGTTGGATTCGCAGCACCACTGCGCTGCATTTCGGGGTTCTGGGATACGTAATGCGGAACAGCTCTCTCGGGAAGGCACCCCCCCCTTTTGTGGCTTGACGAGGCTAGCCGGTCAAGCCAATGGGGAGGAGGACCAGTAGGAAGCCACAGAGGGAGCATGGAGGGGTAGATCTCCTGGGGAATGTGCCTGCCGTTTCGGTTTGTGGGGGACGGGTACACTGCAGCCTTGCATTAGCGCACGGTTCAGGCGTCCTGTCACCCAAAGTTCAGACGGGTGCAGAAGCCAAAAATGCGACTTGCCATGAATCGCATTCTTGATTGTTGGAGGGAATATTCGTCTTCTCCGTTCGGGACCTGCCATCTCGGCACCAACCGACCGGGTTGACATGCACTTCTTCAGCGCAACCCTACCAAAAGGAGGTAGCCGAGGGATCAACAATACCCCGGGCTGCGACACTGAATACCTGCCCACCAACTATAGCACTGGATGACTTTGAACACGCCCTGAGAGGTTGCCCAGCACCTGATTCATCTATTCCACGTCAGAGCCCTCCAAAGCTTCACTTGGCATGAAGAACAATACAGTGCCGCCCCCTCTGGAGGAGATGAACCCGAAGGCTCAGAGAGAAGAGCGAATTGGCGTCCCGATGGGTCTCAACAATCGTTGCGGATCAGCACGCTTGCACCGTAGTGAGGTGCCGTGAGCCGAGCCACGGCTCAAATGCTTCGACAGTGTCCGACCCAAGACATCACCGGGCCCAAGGATGGTCCCGTCCCGTTCGGATCCAACCCACAGCCAGGAACTGCTGTGTCTTCCTCCCCCCTGTCCTCCTTCCGCGCACCACGCAACGTGGAGGAACGTCAGATCGCCGCCCGCCCAAGTGCTCATGGATTCGTTGTTCTGCGGCGGACGCACCTTTCTTCTTCCTACACGGTTTCTGAAAGTGACGATGTGAGATCCAGACCGCGTCAACGCCCGGAAAGCCGCGTTGTCATCTCCACACCCGTGGCGCGTCAGCCGCTTCTCGCTGCAAGCCCCTGTCTGCCATCAGTCCATACGCCACGCGAGTTCCATGGAGCACTATTTCATCCACGAAATTCGCAGGGTCGCTCACCGAACGGCGCCAGCCCGTCCCGCACCGTCACATCGCCGCCCGCGCCCCCGGGTTGTAATATCAGCATGGCCGGGCTGCGAAATCATCGAACATTGTCCAACCCCACAGACAACTTGAGGTCACCAGGGAAGCTGCTAAGACCTCTTGCAAATGAGATATCGGGATTTGAGAAACTTCAGCCACCTCGGCAGAGCGCGAAAGCCAGGAGGCTTTCTTGGCCGCCCAGACGGCTCCTCCAAGCCACACAATACTTAAACTCGGCGCGTTCGCTTTCTGTGGAAATTGCGGCCAAGCCGTTGCCATCTCCATCCATGGGCCCTACTTGACCAAGCAATCCAGGTCAACGACAACGGGAACAAGCCTAATGAAGAGCGAGGGGGACAGATATCTCTCTCGTTCAGCTCTCATGTCCGGACCCGAATTCTCCGCCTGATTCTTCGTTTGTCAAGGTAGCCCGAGAGGCCAAGACTGGCCAAGACTGGCCGCATCAGCTGGGCCTACTCAAACCAACGCCCGTGATGGATGGAGCCCGGCTTCCCGGAGCCAATGGACAGAATTGCAATCGCCCACTGTCCCTTTGGGCTGACGGGGACACGAAAAGGGGATACATAGGAGCGTCTGCGTCGTACCGCATATGCCATGCGCTGCACAACCCTCTGCCATCACTTCAATATTTCCTGACCCTGCATGCACATTCGGCCGAAAACTGACAGGTAAGCGCATATACACAGAGACCCCCAGCCACGGCTTCCTGATCGAGGAGGGACTCGACGATGCGACTGCATCGGGAAGCCGGGGGTCGCCGAGCCCAAGCATGTTTTCCCTCAGCCTGCTTTGCCAACTTACGCGAGGCCCTCTCTGACAGCAAAGCCGGTTCCCAATCGGTCCCCGGCGCATATGCAAGAAGTCGATAAAACGTGCGCTGGCGTGTGTGTGCGTCTCCACCAAACACCCAAAGGGAACAACCCGCGACTGGGTGGGAAACTCCCCGTCGCCTCATGGGCTCGCACCCTGGCACTCGACGCTCGCAAAGCTGCCCGCGTACAGAGCTGGCGGGAGACCCAGACCCCCACTCTGGGATGTGAACGAAGTTCCAGACCACTCTCGTCCCTGACGATCTCCAAGACGCCGACAGCTCGCGGTTCCTGGCGATCTCTTCGCCCTCTTATCAACTAGACCGAAGAACAGCGCGCCCGCGAAGACCGGGCCGCGGGGGAAGTGGCCGGTGGCAGACATTGACGGCCTGCACCGACGAGTCGATGGCACTGAAGATCGCAATTCGACTCCCCCGCAGTCCAGATTCAACAAGAGCCCCGGACTGCCGCGCTAAACAAGGACGCCAACAGCCCCGCTTGGGCTTTCCCATCCGTCGACTGATGGCCCCGAGCGAAACCTTGCCGATGGATGGAGCGAAGCCAGAGGACGCGCGCGCAATGTCTGTCCGACAGCCTCGGCGAGCTGGTCGAACGGGATTCGAGACACGCCTAAAATCAAGGTTTGCCCGCGTGGCGCCGGGCGAGAGATATCGTATCCAGGCACGGTGAGGCTAACGTGGGACTGGTTGGACGGGCTCTCTCCCGTGCCGCCCCTACGACCTTTCCGGGCGGGCGGCTGCTGGTTTCGCCTTACACCAAACAATGTCTCGGTCGCATCATCACACCGGCCAAAATAAAGTGAGACTTGCCTTGTGAATGGGTGAGCGGTTCCAGATAACGTCACTTGGACCAAAAGGGAGGCGAGACAAAAAGAAAAAAGAAAAAAAGACGTTTGTGAGCTTGTTTCTTATCATTTTCGTCTGAATATCTGACTGAAGCCCCCCACGTGGACGACGCC